TGGGATGATCAGTGGGGGCAGGGGAGGTAAGAGCAGCACGAACAACAGGCTCAGACGCATCGATGCAAGCCAGCACTGCCTCCTGCATTGGATCTGGAAGTGCCTCAGGGGAGGAAGCTCGTGCCCAGTCCTCCATTAAAGAGCAGGCAAGGGAGGCGGGGTCAGGGTGGGGAGGAGGCCTCCGTCGAGTACCCCGTATAGCATTAATCCGATTCCATACATAAGAGGGTGACGGCTGGAACGATAGAGACCCCGTGTAGGACAGCCAGTCCGCCTCACGTATCCGACGGCGCTCCTGAGTTGCAAAGGAGCACCAATTTTTGAAGTCTTCCCAGTCCTCTGGAGACCGAGACCTCCGTATGGCAGAGTGGAGATCACGGGTTACCTGCCGGAGATGTCTCATGGTAGGGATACGATACCAGTAGTTGGTGGTACTTCTGGGGTGACGGGGAGGGCGTGGAGGGGTAGCGCGATTGAAAGAGTCATACACGGCATCAACAAAATCAGCGCTGTAAGAGTCAAGGGACTAGGGGACAACATAGGAATCCGCCCAGGTAGAAAGATATTGGGTAAAGGAAGGAACAGCATCTTGTGTGAGACGAAGGCGAGGGGATCGATAAGGAGTTGATGTCGGGGCAGAGAAGGAGAGCCTGAGATGGGTAGTAACGGCAAGATGGTCACCATACAGAGCAGGCTCGGTGCAGACGGTAGGATGAAAGGAGGTATGACCGTTCAATAGTAAGCCAACATCAAGGAAACTATGGGAGAGGCGAGTAGGATCGTCAGGACAAAGAAAGCGAACATCATCATCCCCATTAAGAAACTGGAGAGATGTGATCCGTTAAGGGTACATGGCGTGGGATGATCCGGAGTAAGAGTGGGATGGCGGGCATTAAAGTCGCCAAGAACAATAGCGGGAACCCCATCATGGAGGTCGTGAATAACCTGGGGGTCCAGAGAATCACTCTTGAAATGAACATTGACTACACGAAGGGTCCGGTCACCAAGAGTAAGGGAGACAGAAAGTAATTCAGACGGGGGTCCATGTGAGTCAGGTGAAGGGAGACGAACAGATGGAATGGTGTTACGCACAAGGGTGAGGAGGCCACGAGCCTGCCCACGGTACCGAGGCAGGGTGTAAAACAGTATAGCCAGAGAGGCGGAGTGGAGTAACATCGTCTGTGATGGTTTCCTGAAGTGGAGCAACATCTACTTGTTGGGAGAACACAAACTGGGCGAGGTCTGTCCCTGGATGTTCCATTGTAAGAAGAGGAGGGAACGGCCTCCGGTGTGAGATGAGTCGGAGGGGCTAGACAGGGCTCCAGAGGAGGAACCAATTTCTGTTGAGAAAAATGGAGAGGGAGGAGTGGGAGAGCGAGGGATGGATCCTCCATCTCGGGAGATGGAAGGAGGCGGGTCATCAGGGCTTGCAAAGTGCGCCCCTGTTGGGTCAGGGTGTCCAGAATGAGTTGTTGATGCCTCTGCAATGTCGCAATTGTTTTCACAAACAAGTCGAGTTAGGTAGAGAGAAGGTTGATTTGCTTGGAGTGGCGACCCAGACGGAGAGTGATTGTTTCCATAGAACCAACTTGGTGTACCTGTACAGGAGCTGGAGGTGGCGGCGAGGATTGCCGAGGGCCCGACTGGGCATGTGGTGGTGGTAGCAACGAAGAGGGACGGTGAGGGTTCAGTTGAGTAAGAGGTGGTGGTGCTGGTGAGACACAGCGGGGGTCCGGGTGGGCAGGAGATGGTGGTGACTGTGTAGCAGGGCCGGCAACGACCTTGTTCCAAGAACGGTAGGGAGAGGGAGGGAGGGGAGAAAGGATGGGAAATCCTTGGTGGATGGAAGAGGCGGTGGTGGATAGGAGTGAGGTTTGGTTGACAGGGGCTTCGTCAGAGACGAGGGCGGGGGTACAGGGTAAGTTTTCTCCGGGCGAGTGCCAGGACGCTGTGGGCAATTGGCATTCCAGGCGTGGTGACTGCCATGGCAATTGACACACCGTGGAATAACTGGAATTTTGTTCTGAATTTTCGATTTGTATTCCACTGTTTCGTGAGGACCTGCACAGAAACCGCAGGCGACCATCCTCGTGCACTCCCAGGTGCGGTGTTTCCACGATTGGCAACGACCACAGATTTTCGGGGTTCCGATAAATCGGTCGAGAGGACAGTTGTAAATTGGTCCTACATTCACCTTCGGGGGGAGGGGGCCCACCCACCAGCCGATGAGTTCGTTGGATGGACGTTTGGAGACCGGGTTGATGCGGCGTTCCATGTCCAGTAGTTGTGGGAGAAGAGGGCGAAGATCGTCGATAGGGATCTCCCAGGGTACGTGGCGAACCATTACCTTGGTACGACGAGTTTCTGGGGTGATGATGGTGAACTTCAGCATCACCTCCCCCTGGGGAGCAGGAAAGCCCACCTGAGTGAGGAGGCGTACCGTCTCGTCCATTTGTGTGGTGACTATCACGGCTGTGGGACCTCGGCGGACGCGAAGTGTTGAGTCCTGAAGTGGAGAGCAGTGACGGAAGAACCAGGTCGTCCGTGTGCTCAGAGGCAACTCCCGAGGAAAGGCGAGACGACGAAGGCACGACGGGGCAGGGAGACAAAGGGAATCCCCTATGTCCATCGTCGGCGGAGGGTCGGTCACTGAGCCACATGTAAGCTCACTTGGGGACCCCGATGACAGGAGTCCACCCTCTACAGACCCAGAAGGGGTGCAAGGGGGAGCCGTGGTCCCTGCTGGAGGCCCTGACTTCTGAGGTTTCTGCTTCTTCTTTGACGTGTCTTCAAGAAGAAAGTCGTCAGCATCACTGTCACCTACTGCCGCCGTTTCCAACGAACGGGAGCGTTTAACGGCGGGCATAGGGCACGTTGGCAACACTGCAGTCAGGTGGAGTGGTAATGACGTCACTGCTACGTCACACTATCACATTGCGCATGCGCAAGCTTGAAAAACTTTGCTCAGAGGGATCGGGTGGTAGGACCAGATGTTTTATCCCCAAAAAATGACAAAGTCCAAAAGTAAAAATGAAATTTATGCCACTGTGCTGATAACTGTGTCTTACTATAGTTGTCTGCACAGGCTGGGATTGGTAGACTCGCTGAATTCGTCAGAAATACGAATTTTAAGGAGCAGTCTCTTACAGCCTTTGTTGACACTACGCACGCATGCGCGTTTTTTTCCCACTGTTATCTTGATGTTTCCTAAAGTTTTTTACAAAAAAGTTTTATTTATTCATTTGCAACAAAATAAAAATTTTACATATAGATAGCGGCATAACACTATGAAAACTTAAAATATTTTCCCTTACCAGTATATATGAAGTCGACGAGCAGTTGTAATATATTGGGTTTCATAGACTTCATTTCTATTGACTGTGTTGTTTTCTCAGCAAATCCACATGTAAACAAGGTCTTAAAATATTCGCTTCCCGCTGACAGTATTACACGGTGAGCCTGTGGAATAAAATGTAATCCCCATCGTTTTTTTTTCAAGTTTTTTGGTTCGTTCATACTGCCTTTATACTCACTCGTACGTACATTAAGGGGACGTAAAAGTCTGGGTGAAGAGTCGTCGTCATAGCATAGGTTTTGTGAAGTTACATAAAAGTGAGAGAATTATGGACGGACAACAAAATCAAACCATTACTTGGAAGCAAACCAAAATCAAACCACTCTAGGAAGCAAGCCCAAATCAAATCACTGCTAGGAAACATTGATTCTCTCATGCGAAGAAAGTTGGATAAACAGCTCTTTATTTGTGTCGGGGGAGAAAGGAAGTTAGGGGAGCAGGGAAATTTCTTCCACTGCACTGGATAGACTTTGTTAACCATGTTCCACTGACTTCTCCTGGGCGGTAATAAGGGTGGTGGAGGGTGAGTGTGGGCGGTGTAGTTAAGTTTCCCTCCCCCGATATGGTGTGTAAATGGTGGGTGGGTGATGGAGGGCAGGCAGAGAAATGTTTCTTCACTCACAGATAAATGTTTTACTTACTCACCTTCACAACTGATCCATCAGCTAATAATATTTCTACATCACATAACTCTTCTGACTGCCAGAGGAAATGTATGTCGTCTAGCAGGTAGTTAGGATAAGATTTACATTCCTCCTCCTCCTCCTCCTCTTTCTCCTCCTCCTCCTCCTCCTCGTGATGAGAGAGCTCCACACGTGCAGCCGCCATCTTCAGATACTAATGTAAGACTAACCAGTTGTCAGTTTTGTTTTTAGTGGTGTAGTGATATCTGGTAATACCCGTGGTGGTGGTGGTGGTGGTGCTTCCGTTGCTTCTTCAATCTTTCAGTATGTTGGGATAGGTAATACATTGATTGGAAGTATTTTGTTTTTAATTTTAATTGTGTGAGAGGACTTATTAATATAAGCAACCTTTGCTATCACCAGTTGCGTCACAGCAGCTCAAAGAAAACTTTTGAATTAATGTTTTGGATGATTTTCGGAAGAAAATCCCATGCTTATAGATTTACTTGATAAATCTTCTGGGGCTTAACTGCTGAATTATTCTGGGGCTTTATTATTCTGAGGCTTAACTGCTGAATTACTTTGTTTGTAAGGAGCCTTTCGGCAGACTTTTTTTTAAGCTACACACTCATCCTACTAATCTTGGCCGGTTAGACAGCTTTGGTCAGCTCTTTATTCAGTATTGAGCAAATGTGAAATTAAACAATTATAAGGATACTTTCAAATTTAATGTTAGGTAAGTTAAAAAGATAGAAATCAAGCTTTTTTTATTTTAAATGGATTAAATATGAAGATAATGTCAGTCTTGAGGAAGGTTTAGGGAGTCAAATTAAGACTGCTCTAGCATAAGACCGGCCCTCGGGGAGTGATGTACAGTTCATCCACTTATTATTCTTAGGGTCGAAATATTCCACATTAGCGACAGATACCTAAAAAAAAAAGTTAGAGGTTAAAATTGTAATATAATTCATTCTATATAATTCATTCATTTCATTCTTCCATTTCCATTCTTCCTTTCTTACCAGTCTACTAAGGTCATTTTGACGGTGACCGCCTATGACATATAACAGAGAATTTGTGGCAACAACTGCTGGGATACTTCGATCAAAATTCATTGGTGAACACTTAAACCATTTGTTCTGTGGAAAGGAAAAGAAGGGAGGTTATACAATTTTTACTCCCTTTTTTCACTACACTACAGTATTACAAAAATTCTTCTCCAATATACTTAAATCATTATTATTGTCTTGGGAAAGAGAAAAGAAGGGAGTTATACAATTTTTACTCCCTTTTCACTACTGTAATTCAAATTGTATTGTATATAATAATAATATTACCTGTTCAAAAGGATTTCTTTCTAGTGATGTTTCCTCTTGACCACCCACTAAATACAAAAAGTTATTCAAAACTACAACACCCATCGTGTAGTTGCAGAGAGGTGGAGCACGTCCTGCTAGCGCTCTCCACTCCCCAGTTACAGGATTGTATGAGAGAAGATCATGCATGGGGTTGTAAAAGTCCATATATCCACTAACAATGTAAATAAGACCTTGATGTTCTACTATAACCATGCTGTAAAAAAAAAAATAAAAAGTACAGGCACTGTTACATTTTCTCATTATTATCAGTGTTCACACTATTAGTCAGTAAATCCAATTTGAAAATTGTTATTGTACTTACTTGGATCTACCTTCTGGCATATTTGACTCTAATAATCTCCACTCATCTGTAATAGGGTCATATCTTTCAATACTTTTTTCCATAACCGATCCCGTCCAACCACCGAAGGCATAGAGATAACCTCCATGAGCGCATAATCCAAAATCTGACTCTCCTTTCCAATCCCTCCAACAACGAAAATTTTTCCATGTAAGACTAGCCTACTATTTCTGGCAAAACTCTTATATTTTTCATGGGGCAAACTTTCTGCCATTCCTTCCTAAAGGTATCAAAACATTCAACACTTTTTTTAAATTTATTTTGGTAATAGTTTTCTTTCTTTGATCCACCTATGACATAAATTTTCTTTCGAGTACAAATTCTTGGCTGGACATACAAGGCTGCCCTTTTGGCCAAGTTTGTCTGCTGTTTAAGGTTAACCTTAAATCTAATATCAGAGGAGCACTCATTAATTGATTTTTCTATTAGTTTACTTGAAATTAAAGATAATTTCATTCGTTTTAAAATGTCAAAATGCCAACAACCATATCTATTAGTTCTTCGTGTAATCCATCTAATAGCAGCAGAGAATACCTGCAATAAATAATAGAGAAAGATAAATTTGATAGTTTGGGGTTAAAACGTTTGTAAATAAAGTCAGTTGAAAGTTTGTAATATTAAATAAAAAAAATTATTTTACCTGAAACTCAGAGTCAATATGAAGATACTCTGACTCAAGAAAATACAGTAGAATTTCTTTCGGAATCTCAAGAAATTCTTCCTCCATTGTCACTTCTACGAAATTGGAGAAGATGAAATCCCGCGAAGAATGCAGCAACCTTACTAAATTATCGGCCTCAGCAAACCTGTTTTTAAAAAAAAAAAAAATATGGAATTAGTTACGTCGTGTTATATAAATAGTTTGAAAATAATTAATTATTATACTGTACGTACCGGTAAATTCCCAAAGCATTAGATGGATGAAGTTCGCTCTTAAGAAAGTCTGTACAAACACGTATAGCACGGGACATTATCAGCATGTTTGCAGCCGCAATTAACTCCTGTGCATTTTCCACTGTTATCTTCATGTTTCCTAAAGTATTAAAAAAAAAGTTTTTTATTCATAATTTATTTCGTTTTATTTTACATCTAAGTAGAGCAGCATTATGAAAACTTAAAATATTTTCCCTTACCAGTATATATGAAGTCGACGAGCAGTTGTAATATATTGAGTTTCATAGACTTCATTTCTATTGACTGTGTTGTTTTCTCAGCTAATCCACAAGTAAACATTGCCTTAAAATATTTGCTTCCCGCTGACAGTATTACACGGTGAGCCTGTGGAATAAAATGTAATACCATCAATACTATCAGTAGTTTTTTTTTTTATTTGTCCCCGAGTGGGGGGAAGGGCTAGTTTATTGATTGGGGTGGGTACGTTAAGGGGGGCGTAAAAGTCTGGGTGAAGGGTCGTCGTCGTCAAGTTTACATAAAAATGTATGTGTGGGTGGTGGGGGGGGTGGGGGAATTCCCTGTTATAATATAGATTGATGTGACACTAATATGTCGTCAAATACCAGGCCTATGACTGGGAAGAGGACTCGGAAGAGGGATATTTGGTCTGGGAAGGAAAAAGTGTTGGTAACGGCCTGGGACCTATAGGAGGAGGTCATGGGGTAAATGGAGGATGTAAAATGAGAGAGACCATAATAACAGTGCTGTGAGGTACCTATAGATGTAGACTAGTCGGACAATAGGAAGCAAGCCCAAAGCAAACCACTGCTAGGAAGCATTCAGGGAAGTTGGAAGATTTCTTCCACTGTTCCTTGGTCCTAGACTCCTGGGCGGTTAGGGCGGCGGCGGGTAGATATGGGTGTAAAAGGTGGGTGATGGAGGGCAGGCAGAGAAGGAAGTGTAGTAGGTAAATACAGGTAAATGTTTCACTCACTCACTTTCACAACTGATCCATCAGCTAATAATATTTCTACATCACATAACTCTTGTGACTGCCAGAGGAAATGTATGTCGTCTAGCAGGTAGTTAGGATAAGATTTACATTCCTCCTCCTCCTCCTCATGATAAGAGAGCTCCACACGTGCAGCCGCCATCTTCAGATACTAATGTAAGACTAACCAGTTGTCAGTTTTGTTTTTAGTGGTGTGGTGATATCTGGTAATACCCGTGGTGGTGGTACTTCCGTTTCTAACCCCTCTCCAACAACGAAAATTTTTTCATAGGGCAAACTTTTTATATTCCTCCTCGTGATGAGAGAGCTCCACACGTGCCGCCGCCATTCTCAAATACTAATGTTAATACTAAAGGAAAACTAATCTACAGCAGCTTGGGATGGATAAGTAAAAACTATACATTAATTTCAGTTTTTATTTTTATTTTAAGTGTGTGTTTGTTGAAAAGGATGAAGAGGAAGAAGAGGACTTGTAAATTTCTCTGTTGGATATTCTTAGCTTCTTGAGCTTGGGGAAGTGTCAAGAAGAGAGAAGAGAAAGAAAGTCGAGTCAAATTACGACTGCTCTAGCATTAGACCGACCCTCTGGGAGTGATGCACAGTTCATCCACTTGTTCTTCTTTGGGTCGAAATACTCCACATTAGTGATAGGTACCTAAAAAAAAAATTAAAAGTTAAAACTTTGGATTTGTATATCACACATATTTATTAATCATTCTGTTTTCATTCGTTCTTCCTTACCCCTCTATAGCCGCCTATGACATATAACAGAGAATTTGTGGCAACAACTGCTGGGCTATTTCGACCAAAATACATCGATGAACACTTAAACCATTTGTTCTGTGGGAAAGTAAAAGAAAGAAGAAAAGTAAAAGAAAGGGGGGGAAGTTATACAATTTTATACAATTTTTTACTCCGTTTTCACTATAGTATTACAAAAATGTTTCCACTTCCTAGCTACAATATTGTAATTCAAATCTTGTTGTATATAATAATAAGAATTCATATGCACAGCACTGGTAAATGTATATAAAAATAAGAATTCATAAGTTTTGCACTGGTAAATAATCTTACCTGTTCAAAAGAATATCTTTGCATTGATTTTTTCTTAATACCACCACCTACTACATATAAAAAGTTATCCAAAACTGCAACACCTATCTTCTTATGTAGTGGACCTATCATCGGTGCTAGATTCTTCCAATCCCCAGTCACAGGATTGTATGAGAGAAGATTACGCAGGAAGGTGTAATGATATCCAACTCCACCAACAATGTAAATAAGACCTCGATGTTCTACTATACCCATGCTGTAAAAGAAAAAAAAAGAGGGGGAAAAAAAAGACAGTACAGGTCACTGCTACATTTTCTCTCATTATTATCAGTAGTTCATACTATCAGTCAGTAAATTCAATTTGAAAATAATTATTGTACTTACCCGGATATAGGTTCTAGCATATTTGACTCTAATAATCTCCACTCATCTGTAATAGGGTCATATCTTTCAATACTTTTTTCGACAACCGATCCCGTCCAACCACCGAAGGCATAGAGGTAACCTCCATGAGCGCATAATCCAAAATCACATCGTGGGGTAACCATAGAAGATATCCCAGTCCAATCTTCTTCCTGTGGATCATAAACTTCGCCATCTGCCCAAATCTGACTGTCCCCTCCAATCCCTCCAACAACGAAAATTTTCCCATGTAAGACTGCTACTCATAGCCCACATCTCTCAATTTTCATGGGGCAAACTTTCTGCCATTTCTGCCTAAAGGTATCAAAACATTCGACATTTTTTAAACTATACTCTCTGATCCTTTCCATCCACCTATGACATAAATTTTCTTTCGAAGACAAATTCTTGGCTGGATATACGAGGCTTCCCTTTCGTCCAAAAAAATTGTCGTCCTCTGCTGTTTAAGGATAACCTTCAGATTGATATCAGAGCACTCATTAATTGATTTTTCTATGAGTTTACTTGAAATTAAAGACAATTTCACTCGTTTCAAAATGTCATAAATACAACAATGTCTATTAGTTATATCTTGTGTAATCCATCTGGTGGCAGCAGAGAATACCTGTAATACAATAAAGAAAGAAAAGGTAGATAAATTTGATTGTTTTGGGTCTACTATTAAATAAAAAAAAAAGCGTATATAAATATTTACCTGAAACTCAGAGTCAATATGAAGATACTCTGACTCCAAAAAATACAGTAGAATTTCTTTAGGAATCTCAAGAAACTCTTGTTCCATTGTCATTTCTACGAAATTGGAAAAGTTGAAGTCCTGTGAAGCAGACAGCAGGTTTACTAAATAATGGGCCTCAGCAAACCTGTTTAAAAAAAAAAAAAATTAATGGATTTATTCCTAATGGATTTATTTATTGTACGTACGTATAGGTAACATAATCAACTGAACTGAATCATCAAATCAAACCGTACATGTAAATTCCTAAAGCATTGGATGGATGAAGTTCACTCTTAAGAAAGTCTGTACAAACACGTACAGCATGGTGAATTTCAAGTATGTTTGCAGCCACAATTAACTCTTGAACGTTTTCCACTGTTACCTCGATGTTTTCTAAAGATTAAAAAAAAAAAAGTCCATCAACAAAATAAAAAATATCGTTTTTAGTTTTACATTAGCACTCACTTTCTATTAACTTTTAAAAAGTTTGTCTTTATCCTTACCAGTATATATAAATCCGATGAGCTGTTTTAATATATTAAATTTCATAGACTTCATTTCTATTGAAGAAGACTGTATTGTTTCCTCACTTAATCCACACGTAAACATTGTCTTAAAATAATTACTTCCCGCCGAGAGTATTACACGGTGAGCCTGAAATAAGAAAAATAGTTGTTGTGTTAAGTATACATATACAGACAGGACAGACGACAGTTTTTACAGTTATTTCAGACAATAAATACAAAAAAAGTTAAAAAATAATGTTTTCTCACCTTCACAATTGATCCATCAACTAATATTTCTACATCACAAAACTTTTGTAACTGCCAGAGTGAATGTAAGTTCTCTAGCAGGTTAGATTTACATTCCCCCTCCCCATGATCAGAGTACTCCACACGTGCTGCCGCCATCCTCATATATAACTAATAAACAAATGTAATACTATCCATCCAGAGTTGAGTTGTCTGGTGGTGGGTGGTGATATCTGGTAATTTTTAACTGAGATGTAGTATATATATATATTGAGAAAACTTTATAATTGGGGTACCGAGTAATCACAGGTATATTAGGTCTTTTATATGAAGTGGCGGCATGTGTGGAGCTCTCTTATCCGAACGACTTCCTAGAGGTGGAGCTCTCTTATCCAAATGACTTGCTAGAGAACTTACATTCACTCTGGCAGAAACAACAGTTCTGTGATGTAGAAATATCATCAGCTGATGGATTCATTGTGAAGGTGAGAACATTATTTATTTGCTGGTATATTAAGTTGTTTTAACTAGCTTTGTCTGAAATGAATGAAAAAGATGAAGAAGATTTTTATATACTGTATACAACAAACGTTTTATTCCAGGCTCATCGTGTAATACTCTCGGCGGGAAGTGAATATTTTAAGGACATGTTTACTGGTGGATTAGCTGAGGAAACAACACAGTCTTCTTCAATAGAAATGAAGTTTATGAAATCCAATATATTAATTCGGATCATTGGATTCATGTATACTGGTAAGATAAAAGGAAAAACACATGTTTTTCATATATGTTAAAAACACATGTTTTTCATATTGCTATATGTAAAACGGTATTTTTATTTTATTAATTATTATGAAAAATTTATTTTAAATCTTTAGGAAACATTGAGATAACAACGGAAAATGCTCAAGAGTTAATAGTTGCTGCAAACATGCTGAAAGTTCACCATGCTGTATGTGTTTGCGCGGCCTTTCTCACGAGTGAACTTCATTCATCCAATGTTTTAAGATTTTACAGGTGTGTAAGTAAATTATTAAGTAAATTATTAAAAAATATTCTAATCTTGTAAACTTTACCGTTTTTTACACGTACAGTAATCCAATATAAATTCCATATTTTTCTAAACACAGGTTAGCTGTAGCTCATCATTTAGTACCACTGCTGGATTCTTCACGGGACTTCATAATCACAAATTTCTCAAACGTAATATTGGAGAAAGAATTTCTTGATACTCCTAGAAACATTATACAAGGGCTTCTTCTAGAGAAGAAAAAACGTCAAATTCTTGAAGAAAACTTCAAGAAAGAACAGTGCCGCCATTGTCCTACCTGTAAATTACAAGTGTAGACAGGATTAGAGAGTGAAAAGAGTGCGATCTGTTATTGTTCTCTGTCTACCTGTTATTGTTCTATACCCAACCTGTTATTGTTGTATACCCAACCTGTTATTGTTCTCTACCAACCTGTTATTGTTCTACTAAGATAAGTTTTGTTTTACTACCTAAGGCTTGGTTTTTACCCCCTTTCCTCTGAGTTTTAAGGGCCGCTCAAGGAAAATAACTATGATAATGATATTTTTAGTCAGTCAAAATGCTTAAAAAGATACTAAAAAAAGATAGGAGAAAGAGTTTTAATAAAATGTGGATGCATGGATGCAATGTTCCTGCAGAAATATTTCTCTTATCCCCTTACCATAATTCCACAAAAGTTTTGTGTAGGTCAGTGGAAAATGAGATCTTTTGAAGAATTTAGATTTAAATATTATTAAATAATATAAAACTAGCAACAACAAAACATTAAGATTAATCATTTAATTATTTTTACATTCATTTTTACCGTGAACACACATTTTGTTACATTTTTTACTTCTTTTAAATCATGCACATCGTTTGTCTCTACATGGAATAGATTTACATTTACAAGCTACACTATTTCTAGTACTTTCTCTACGAATCCCTAAACTCTTAGTTTGAAGTCTTGCAGCCTTACGTATAGATAATTTGACATGTGGTAATTGTGATAATTGTCTTGGTGGTGTTGGTACTGATGATGATGATGATGGTGAATATTGTGGTTGTGGTGATGATGATGGTGAATGTTGTGGTTGTGGTGATGATGGTGGTGGTGGTATTGGTGTATTAACATTATTACCATACAGTTCTAGTTGATTTTTCATTAATCTTGGTTTAAGTTCACCATGGGGTGTTATTACTTTATATAAACCCTTTTGTTTATTAATTTCAGATACAATTCCTATTAAATTAATTGGTCCAATTTTATGTCTATCAACTGAGGGAATAGGTACGAGAACTTTATCATTAACATTAACTGTGAAAGATGATTTGTTGTTTTGTGACAACATTTTTTTAGCATTCATTTTCTGAGTTTGTTGGGCTAAATGCCTATTATTATGTATTGATTGTATATTTATGTTTACACTACTACTGGCATCCTCTTCATGCAATGATAATTCATCATCTAAACTAGTAGATTTATTAAGAAATTCTTGTTGTATACGATTCTTCTTTTTCTTTTTATTTCTTGATAGGTCGTCTCTCATCTATAATAAAAATAAAAAAACATTAAAATTTGATTAATGCATATTGTTTTACTTATTAATTTCAAGTAAAATAACACTGGAACTAAAAAAAACTATAATAATACTTCCTGTAATTTCTTCTTTTCTTTTTGTCTGTGTACTTCCTGATAGGTAGTCTCTCATCTATAATAAAAATAAAAAAACATTAAAATTTGATTAATACATATTGTTTTACTTATTAATTTGAAATAAAATAACACTGGAAGGAACTTAAAAAAACTATAATAATACTTCCTGTAATTTCTTCTTCTTTTTCTTTTTCTTCTTGTTGTTGTTCTTTTCCTTCTTCTTCTTCTCCTTCTTCTTCTTCTTGTTGTTGTTCTTCTCCTCGTTGTTGTTCTTCTCCTTGTTGTTGTTCTTCTCCTTCTTCTTCGTCTTCTTCTTGTTGTTCTTCTCCTTCTTCTTCGTCTTCGTCTTGTTGTTCTTCTCCTTCTTCTTGATGTTGTTGTCGTCGTTGTAGTTGTTTACTACACATTACATTTATTAAATGTTCTTCAGTTTTCACGTACATTTTAAGCTTATTGTATATATCTAATGGTAAATTTGACTTCATCCCCACTATTGGATCTTTACCAAAAACAGCTTTATATGGAGACATATTAATTCCTTCACTATGAGCAGAATTTTTGGCCATTTGAACAAAGGGGAGAGCAATAACCCAGTTCGGGGTGTTATTATCTTTTAAAAAGCTATTTAAAATTCGCATAACATCTCCATTAGCTCTCTCTACACTTCCTTGACTCTGAGGATGGCGAGGTTTTCCGTTAATTATGTACAGGTCTGGCCAGATGTTTTCTGTTAAATCCTTAATAATAGATGCTACAAATTCTCTACCATTATCACTTTGGAGAATCTTAGGAGCTCCAATTATACTAAATATTTGTAACAGGTTATAAGCTACTTCGTCAGCTTGTTTATTCCTTAATGGCCGTAAAATTGAGAATTTTGTTAAATGATCTTGATAATGTAGAATAAATTTATAATCTTCAAAACGTTCTTTCTGCATATCTATCAAATCAATCTGACCTCTAGATCCATAACTGCTAGATAGTAGAGGTTTAACAACCTCTGCCTTCCTTGTACGTTGACGACGTTTTAGTTGACATGTTTCACATAATGAAATAAAGAGTTTAATTTGTTTTAAGGTTATATTGGCAATTTTTTTCTTCAATTCTACATAAGTTCTTTTCTCCCCTCCATGTCCAATAGTAAGATGTGAATCTTTAATATTATCATAAATTTCACAGACACTAACAAAAACTTTTTCTTGCCCATTTTTCAAATATTTAGTTATTAATTTCTTAACACCATATTTGTAAATTACATCGTATCGGCGAATAAGAGCATACTCTTGAGGCCTCTTTGTAGTAATTTTATTCTTGGCTGCTTCAATTATTTCTATATATTGTTTCAATTTTGTATCAGTAAAAAATAACCGTTTATTGCAAAATTTTTGTGCAAATAGTTTCTCTTCAAATAATTTTCTGTTGATTTCACTTGTACTTGTATTTGCTGGTGTATCAGTATCTTCATTGTCGTCGCTGTCACTATCTAACATTGTCGTCTGTCCGTCAAATAATACAGTTAGTTTGGTTATCACACCCCAACCCAATAATCGATCGATCGATCCGTGGGCAGTCTAATGGGAAGTGTGGTGCTACTTCATGTTGGGGAGGGGTATATATATAAAAGTTGGTGGGTATGAATCATTGGCGACGCCTTTTTCCCATTTGAAGGAAGCAAACTACATGTTACCTAGTTTTTAAAAGGTAAAGGTTGTTAAAGACAAGGTTGTTGTTTGAGGGAAGTAGCGTAACCCTCACCACCTTCCTCCTCTCACCTGCTGCTGACCCCCCCCCAAGTAAAGAGAAAATATTCTAAGAGAAAATATTCTTAAGTAATATGGATGTATGTTGTGGAAAACCTAATGGGTTTATCATTCAGTGAAATTAAGTATTTGACAAGTATTTTACATTTAGTTTGGCAGTAATTTAGAGAAGGAATTGTATATAAAGAACGTACATACAAGTACTACTTTACTTCACTCAACCAGCTTAATCGTGTGTTTAAAGTGCAAGCAAGACCACAGCAATTCACAGAAAATTTTCAGAAATGTCAGAAAAAGTAGTATTGCAGGAACAAATTGATAATTATAACAATGGAGATGATAATAATGATGAAGACGAACAAATTGAGGTTTCAACTATTAATGACGAACCTAAACTGTGTAAACCACTATGGGAGTGCATAATGTTTTGTTTTGCATTTTGTTTTACACCATAGACTGGATTAGGTAAGTTTTATCTGGTTGATTTAATAGATACCAATAATATATTTTTTCGAAGAATAATATAAAGATAAGTTTTACATGAATTACATAAGGAAGAAAAAAAAACTATATTATTTTTGCTAGATTTATTATTAGTTTTAATGTTTATTATCGGAAAAAATTAAAATATTTTATACATACAAATATTATCTCGTCTATAGGTGGTCGTCGTCAATAAAAACATGGTCTTTTAACTCTATAGCGATCACGGCTGGGAGAGAATTAATATAGT